TGCCACTATCATGAGCTAGGTGTCTGGAGATCTCCTCAGATTACAACTGAACTCCAGGCAACAGAGGCCTTGGAATTATACCCCACTATGGCATTATGGAGCTGCGGTGGCTCAAGTGGTTAAGACGCTGAACTGCAGGCTGTGGAAGGTCAGTAGTTCAGCAGTTCGAGACCCGAGTGTGCCGCATGATGGAGTGAGCTCCCGTCTCTAGTTCCAGCTCCTGCCAACCTAGCAGTTCGAAAGCAAGAAATTGCAAGTAGATAAATAGGTACCGCTTCGGTGGGAAGGTAACAGCGTTCCATGCGCCTTGATGTTTAGTCATGCCGGCCACATGACCACGGAAACGTCTTCGGACAGCGCTGGCTCTTCGGCTTTGAAACGGAGATGAGCACCGCAACCCTAGAGTCGGATTCGACTGGGTTTCGAGCAAGGGAACCTTTACCTTATATGGCATTATACCCCACTGAAGTCCCTCCCCAAGCCCTGCCCTCCTCAGGCTCCACCCACAAAATTTATTTATTTATTTATTTATTATTTATATTTTTATCCCGCCCTCCCCGTAGGTATTTCCCAACCTGGAGCTGGCCACCCTATGTAAGGTTAAACGGGCCAGAAACATGGCACAGCCCCTAGGTGGCCATTCAACAGGAAAGGCAGAGTGCCTCCCTAGCCATGGTCCTGCCCATAAGACTTGGCATATCTCAGGATCCTGGCAACAAGCATAGCCAGTCACACGCACAACCCAGGAGCCTGGCACACCCCTGGCTGCTGGGTCTATCAACTCTCAAGAAATTCCTGGTGGCACCTGGAGAGGGCAGAGTCGGGAAGGGAGGGACCTCCGTTGGGATGTAATGTCACTCTAGGACTTCTGTTCCTCCTAGACTCCATTGTATAACATAGAGTCCATCCTATGTTTCTTTCTTTTCTTTTTTGGTATTTTTTTTGGGGGGGGGTTATGTGTGTGTCTGTGTGCACGCGCGTGAGTGTGTGTGTGCACCTGTAAGTCATGGCGACCTCTGGTGACTGACCCCTACTGGGGGCCTGGAGGATATTCAGAGAGGCGGCTGAATGAAGCCTGCCCCCGCCTCCCGACTGCTGGTATTCCTTGGAGATCTCCCATCCGAGTACTTGCCGGAGTTGACCCTGCTTCTCTTCCGAGATCTGGCCTATCCCAATCAGGACAGAGTCCCCCCCTTTGAAACGGCCACTTCCTTCAAGGCAACCAAACCCCTGTTGTTTGGAGATCAGCTGTCCTTTCAGGAGAGCTCCAGGCCTCACCTGGAGATTGGCACCACTGAGCAGGACCTAATTGGCTGATGTCGGCCAAGGTCTCCTACAGTTCAGCTGAGAAAGACCACCAGCGTGGAACTCTGTCTATAAGGACCCTAGATCACTGTCTGGTGTTGGACTATTTAATATTTAAATACACACAACATCAAAAAGGAACCCTTTTTGCTGCCTTCGTTGATATGAAGGCAGCTTTTGATTCCATTGACCGTGTGACATTATGGTCAAAATTGAATTCTACCACCATAGACAAAAGGCTTCTCCATTTGCTAATAAACCTCCATAGCAATAACACTCTTCAGGTAAAATATTCCTCAGACGGTAGACTATCCAAACCTATTCAGCTGAGGAGGGGTGTTAGACAGGGCTGTCCGTTAGCCCCATTTTTGTTTAATTTCTATGTGAACTCTCTCATATCCGATCTGCGTAACACTTAGAATGCAACTAGTCGCACGTTGGTGGCGGGAGATGCGCAGAGAGGGCATTTAGCAACCGCAGGGGGAGAGCAAACGGCCTTGTGTGACGAACACACCCCATGGCAGACCCCTTACAGGTCTGCAGTTGCTCGGGACACACACCAAGGGGCGACCCCCCCATCCCAAGGGGCACCCTGCACCCTGACAGGTGGGCAGGGGCAAGGGTCCAGCACTCTTGGCCTGTGAGTCCACTACCACCTTCCCCATCCAGACCCCAGTAATGCATACTCCCATAGCTGGGGCTAGCAGCATGGCATCTTGGGGGGGAGCCCAAGTCAGCTCCACCTAACTCTCCCCCCTCTAGCATGCAGTAGGGTTACCAATCCCCAGTTGGGGGCAGGGGATCCCCTGGTTTGGAGCCCCTCCCCCCACTTCAGGGCTGTCAGAAAGTGAGGGGGGGAGCGCCCCAAAAAGTCCCTACAAGTTGCGGAGGAGAAAGGAAAAGAAGAAGTAAAGGTTGAAGGACTCTGAATTTTGCCTTTGAGAACTTTGGTTTCTGGGGATGATTGGGGGTACTGTTACCAGACAGTTAAATGTAAACTCTAAGGATAAAAGGTTTTAATGTTTGACTCAGTTTATAAAAGGATCAACAATGAGAAGATTTGATGTATCAAAGCTAGTTGGAGGATCTCTTTTCTTGGGTTTTTAGATAGTAGTGGGTACTTTACTTCCTCCTGTATATGTAGTATCCCCCCTCCCTTCTTTTCTGTTGTAGTTTTTTGTAGATATAAAAAATCAATAAAAAATCCCCTCCGGGGGCTTAAAAAAAGAAAAGAAAGAAAGTGAGGGGGGGGATGGCCGCTGGCCACTCCATTATGCCCTATGGCAGTGATGGTGAACCTTTTAGAGACCGAGTGCCCAAACCGCGACCCAAAACCCACTTATTTATCGCAAAGTGCCAACATGGCAATTAAACCTGAATACGGAGGTTTTACTTTAGAAAAAACAACTCATACATTAACTTAAGATGATCCAAACAAAGTACGGAAAGCAATCCCAAATGCTTTCATTTACTTAAAATTATTTAGCAGAGAATTTAACACTTTAATGATGGTCTGGGCCTGGCTGGGGCGATGGCACGCGTGCCCACAGAGAGGGCTCTGAGTGCCACCTCTGGCACCCGTGCCATAGGTTCGCCACCACAGCACTATGGAGACTGTTCCCCATAGGGTATAATGGATAATTGATCCACGGGTATCTAGGGCTCTGAGGGGGCTGTTTTTTGAGGTTGGGGCACCAAATTTTGAGCATAGCTGGCGGTGCCTCTCCTAGGGGGGGAAAAACAACCTCTCCAAGTTTCAAAAAGATTGGACCAGGGCGTCCGATTCTATGAGCCCCAAAAGAAGGTGCCCCCGTCCTCCATTATTTCCAATGGAGGGAAAGCATTTAAAAGGAATGCAGTCCCTTTAATTGTGGCAGCCAGAACTCCCTTTGGGCTTGTTGGCCTCACCTGGCAACCCTAGTGACATCACATAAGTGATGCCACATCCTTGCTCTTGGCTCCACCCCCAAAGTCTCCTGTCCCCCCCCCCCAAAGTCCCCAGATATTGAGTCGAACCCTAGCATGAAATGAAGTTTGTTCTCTCAGGAACGTACACTGAGGGCTGCTATTTATTCTCGCCCTCGATTTCGTCATATTTTTGTCAACCGTCTTCATTTTCTGCTTTTTCCTGTCGGTTTCATAAAACCATCTGTGTTCTGGAGGCACCCTATAGAAGGGATCCAGGGGAACCATGTTGCCCACCAACCCCTCTCTTGGTGCCCACCAAGTGTTTTTAGAAAGTGCGTGGGGGAGGGTCAGGTGGGGCAATCGGAGCTTCTGATTGGCCACGGGAGATCTAACATATCCTGCCCAGACGAGTCTTTTCTTCGCTAGCTCAATATGTATACTTGTGTACGTGAAATATTTTTTAAACAATACGTTCGTTCTAAAAGGCATCCAGTTAAGCAGAGCCGGTGTCTCAATTGCTAAAGACCTACAATCAGAGTTATGCATAACCTCGCTCTCTGACATTTTGTGGCCGGTTCCACCGCCTCCAGCAGCCATTTTGTGGTTGCGCCTTCCACCCTGTGTTGGATTTCCAAAGATACCCGCTGGCTCAAAAATGTTGGGGGTCCCTGCCCTGGAGTGTATTTATATGCAATCTATATAAAAACATCAAGGTGGGTGAGGAATTTTAAAACCCCTCCAATGTGAAGCATTCTCCTTTTCCTAGTAGGGTTGCCAGGTCTGGGTTGGAAAATACCTGGAGACTTTGGGGGCGGATCCAGGAGAGGGTGGGGTTTGGGGAGGGGAGGGGCCTCGGCATGGTCCAATGCCAGAGAGCCCACCCTCCAAAGCAGCCATTTTCTCCAGGGGAGCTGATCTCTGTCAGCTGGAGATCGGTTGTAAAAACGGGAGATCTCCAGGCCCCACCTGGCGGCTGGTAACCCTGTTTCCTAGCCTGGCAACTGCGCCGTTACAAAGTGTTTCAGGCAATAGCCCTGTAAGGAGCTTTGGATTCTGAGAGGGAAAGGACCCGATTAAATATACGGAAAGCAAAATACTAAAATGGCGCTGCCGCTACCCACCCCCAAGGATTGACAGTACCCCTGACTTTTAGAAAGTGTTTTGGCGGGAGACAAAATTTGGTGTCTATCACCCTTATAACGGCTATTTGGATCTCCTCATTTGGGTCTCACGAAGAAGATGTTGCGTGTGTATTCAACAACCACCACCACCCAGCAGTTAAAAGTAATTAAAAGGGAGGAATGGCGGCATGGTATAACCCAACCTTGTCAGATCTTGAAAGCTAAGCAGAGTCGCTACTGGGATGGGACGGAGACCACCAAGGAAGGCTCTGCAGAGGAAGGCCGTGGCAAACCACCTCTGCCTCGCGCTTGCCTAGGAAAGCCCTTGCTGGGGCTGCCATAAATCGGTTGCAACTGGATGACGCGAAACAGACACGAATGTAATTGAACAAAAACGACAACAGAATTCGGGATGCCAGACTGGGAATCTCCAGGACTTACAGCTCCTCTCCAGACTTACAGAGACCAGTTCCCCCCTGGAGAAAATGGATGTTTTGGAGGGTGGACTCTGTGGCACTGTACCCCACCGAGGTCCCCGCCCTCTCCAGGCTACACCCCCCAAATCTCCAGGGATTTCCCTACCTGGAGCTGGCAACCGTACTCCTCCATCCACCCTACCCATACGTCCCTACCTGGCAACTCTATGAGAGAATTCAAATACCGTACCAGCTGTTCCTGGCAAGAATGCCAGTTCTTCTGGGTCTCTGTCAGGTTCTTGTTCATGGCCTCCATTTGGTAGCTCAAGATTCCAGCCTCCTTCTTTGCTGCCTCCTGCGTCTCCTCCACGCGCCGCCTGAGGGATGCGTTTTGGGTTTGCATCTGGGCAGACTGGTTCTCCATCTGCGACTGGCATTCCCGCAGCTGCTTGGCTGGTTCCGAAAATGTTTGCCCCAGGTACAGCCCCATGAAAACGAGAAAGAGGACAAAAAAGACAAGGGTGGCCACAGGAAAACCAACAAAGAAAAGCTTCTTCATTTTGCCCCCTGGCCTTGGAGATATGGGGCAAGGCTGATAGTCTACGTCTCTTCCCATCGGACCAAGTCCAGCCACAGAGAGATCTGCTGAGGATGTGAAAAGAACCCGTCCTGTTCCTCCAGAGTCAAGAGTTGTGTTTGCAGAACACCCTTCTCCCCCACCCCCCCTACCCAGTATTTCCCGGAAATCCTGTGGTTTTAGAGAAAAGGCTAGACCGATGTAGGGCTAGCGGCAGGAGAGCATTATTAGAAGGCAAAAACAGAGAAACGAAAGTGAAAATCCCCCCTCTGCCTGGCTCCCGTTCTGCACTAGAAACCCCCTGTGCTAGGAGGACACAAGTGTGCCACAGTACAGGTTGATTTATTTACCTTTGTGTATCAACCTGAGTGTCTCACGGAGACTCAAAAGCGGATTACAAAATGGAAAAGACAATCAAATCAGAAAGCAAAGCCCTTCGGACAGGGCGGTAGGACTGGGTCTAGGGTTTCCAGCCTCCAGGTGGGTCGAACAACAAATAAAATACATTGCAAGAGAATTTTACAAACCACCGCGTTCTCTTTGTAACTATCATGCTATAAAATGCATCGTGTGCTATTATTACATCCTTGTCAGGCACATGCATACAAGACTTTCAGTTGAACAACTACCAGTCAATATCCCATCAGTATTTTTGAAAAAAGTCAAGCCCCAACGGGAGTTTCCAGAATTGCAAGCCCACTTCTACTTGCACAAAGTCTTGTATGCATGTGCCTGACAAGGATGTAATAATAGCACTGGTGTGCACTTTATAGCATGATAGTTACAAATAGAACACGGTTGTTTGTTAAAAAATCTCTTGCAGTGTATATTTATTCATTGTTAGACTCTCCTAACACTGCAGCTCGGGATGCTACAGCCTCCAGGTGGAAATAACATATAGTTAGCAAGCAACTGTATCTTTAAAATCTTATGTCTGTATTTCACTTAAGAATCAGTAAGATGGCATGTTTTTAAGAGCTTTGGGAAGACATTAGAGAGAGGTTGCGTTGATCCACATTGTTGTTGCTTGTGGTGAGTGTCTGTTCTTTTCCTCTCGGGAGTGTGTTCTGTTTATCTCTTACATTCCTTGGAACTATATGTCTTCAAATGAAGGAGTGATAAACACTGTTCAGGAACTCGTATAGCAAGGACTTCTCAGTTTGCTTTGCACACTTTACAGCTCCGTCAGGAAGTCTCAAAAAGTAAACATTCGAGGAGCTCAGCCAAAACAACATCAGGAATAACTACGGTCCTGGTCACACAGAGACTTTGCCTCGGGAGAGGCACAACTGCCGGGTGGATTAAATGGGTGCGATCATACGGAAACATCTGGGAAGCGTCGCCTGCCCATCCCCAGCCCGTAGCTTACTGCCTCCGGAGTGAAAAAGTACCGCCCACGAGCTACTAGCAGTTTGCCACGGGCCGCAGACGGACTGTCTTTGTCTGATCACCCCAGCGTCCTTCTTTTGCCCCGTTGAAGCGCTGCAAGAACCACGCACTGACGAAAACAACGCGGTTTGCCGCTGTCGCATCTGATCGCGTTGCAGCAGCTCAAATTGCGACGGCGCTAATAGCCATGCCTCCTCCCCGCTTTATCTGGCCCATGTGACCAGGGCCTACATCAAGATTTTGTATTGTTTTGTATTGTACTCATATTATCCCTTGGACTGCAAGGAGATCAAATCAGCCAATCCTAAAAGAAATCAACCCTGACTGTTCCCTGGAAGGCCAGATAATGAAACTGAAGCTCAGATACTTTGGCCACCCAATGAGAAGGGAGCACTCCCTGGAGAAGACCCTGATGCTGGGAAAGATTGAAGGTCAAAGAAGACGGGGACGGCAAAGGATGAGAGGGTTAGACAGTGTCATCGATGCAACGAACATGGAAGTTGAGCAAACTTCAGAGGACGGCGGAAGACAGGGAGGCCTGGCGTGATCTGGTCCATGGGGTCGCGAAGAGTCGGACTCGACTGTGCGACTGAACAACAATATATTATCATTTGCTGGCTTTACTTATGTTCATGAAATGTACTTCATATATAATGAATGAATGCTAGTTAATACAGGAAATTTGTTATAATAATACAACTAAGTGTGTTAAAGATATAGAAGAGTAATTTCCTTTGGTGTGCCCTATATTTTCCCTGGAGAGAATGGCTGCTTCGAAGGGTGGACTCTATGGCTTTGTACCATGCCGAGGCCCCTTCCCTCGCCAAACCCCGCCTTCTCCCGGATCCACTTCCAAAGTCTCCAGGTATTTTCCAACCCAGACCTGGCAACCCTAATTGGATCATCAGGTTGCAGGCAGCCAACATACAGTAACCCATGTAGGTTTTCAAGGCCAGAGACGTTCAGAGGTGGTTGGCCATTGCCCGCCTCTGCATAGAAACCCAGGACATTCTTGATGGGTCTATCATCCGACTGGGGATGAACCCTGCTTCGCTTCCGACATCTGATGATGCAGTGTTCCCTCTAAGCTGAGTTAGTGTGAGCTAACTCACAGTTATTTTAGCCTCCAGCTCACACGTTTTTGTTGTCGCTCAGGAAGGAGGGCTCCAGAGCAAACGAATCTGTGCAGGAGCCAAATTGCTTGCTCACAACTTTGATGCCAGGAGATCACTGTTAAATAGTGGGTTTAACACAGCAGAGGCGAAGACATAGTGATTTCAGTAAGCAGCAGTTTGTTGCATCTCAACAAGATTGCTTTACATGGGGCAACCTAAGCCACTCCCAGCCCCCATGCGATTGACGAGTTCAAATGGCCTCCAGGCTCCAGATTGGCTGGTTTCCCCCAGGGGCCAATCCGCAGACAGGTTCCAGGATCCTGCCTGCCTTTGTTCTGGGGCTTCAAGCTCCAACTAGGTGGCCTGCGCAGACATGCCTCCCCACTCTCCATCTAGGTGGCCTGCTGGACAAGTCCAGGCATGCCTCCTCATGCTGACTACTAGCACCCCCAGCAGCTAAGACTGAGTGGAGGATTGCACGTGTCCGGACATAACACTCACAAAGTAGAATTTTTGCTCACAAGACTCCACAGCTTAGAGGGAGCATTGCTGATGAGATCAGTCTAGCCTGGGTCATCCAGGACAGGGCAGAGACAGAAGGAGTTTGCCATTGCCTGCCTCTGAGTCATGACCCTGGACTTCCTCGGTGGTCTCCCATCCAAGTACTGACCAGGGCTGACCCTGCTTAGCTTCCGAGACGGGACATCCAGGTCAGGGCTGCTGTAGGCTTATGGAACTGGAGAAACGAATGCAAACAGAAAACTGCTCAGGCGTTATATCCCATGATTCAGCCTAGCGGGCTGCAAAGGGAGAAAGCAAAGTAGGAAAGGCAAGGCGATAAAAATACAAGACGCCGTGTACTAGGCTACGATCCTATTCCCTTATAAAAGCAACCTCCCATTTTGCTGCAGTGCTAATCACTTTGTAGAAATGACCTCCTGATAGGGTTGCCAACTCTGGATTGGGAAATTCCTGGAAGGTTTGGGAGCACAGCCCAGCTAGGGCAGAGTCTGGGGAGAGGGAGGAACTCGGCATGTGATGCGGCAGAGCCCGCCTTCTGAAGCTGCCGTTTTCTCCAGGGCAATCATTCTCTGTAGACCAGGAGAACTCTGGGCCCCACCTGGAAGTTGGCAACCCGAGATGCTGGAGGCATGCCCACAAGAGGGCTCGCTGGCGGTAGCCCCTACCCACTGACAGGCCCCCCCACCATCTGACAGTCTAAGGCAGGGGTGGCCAAACTTGTTCAATGTAAGAGCCACACAGAATAAACATCAGATGTTTGAGAGCCACAGGACACGAACAAATATCTCTATGTAATAATTCTGTTTTGGTAGTGGCACTCTCCTGAACATTCCACACACTCCCAAATCAGTTGGCTCCCTGATCTGTCACTCAGAAGCTGTCCCTATCCACTGGGTGCGTTGCCTGAGTCTCGCCTCCAGTATTCTAAACAGTTTGCTGTTCCTTTCCCCCCAATAGCCAGTTGGAACATAGAGGCCATTTGCATATGCGGCCTGGTTGGCCTTTGCCTCTAACATTCTAAACAGTTTGTTGTTGCTGTTGGGAGTCATTGAATGTGTCCTGAGGTAAAATACATATCTCAATCTTCCCTTAAATGGTCACTGCAGTTGCCAGTCTCCCTGTGGGGCCTGGAGATCTCCCAGAAATCACCATGTTCCCCAGCCACAGCACATCATTTCCCCTACAGAAAATTTCCCAGTTATTACAATGGCTGCTTTGGGCAGTGGACTCTATGGCATTATACCCTGCTGAAGTCCCTCCGCACCCCAAACCCTGCCCTCCTCAGGCTCTGCCACTCAAATCTACAGGTCTGGCCCTCCCCTTAGTATTGCCAGCCTCCAGGCAGCACCTGGAGATCTCCAAGATCAGTTCTCCTGGAGAAAAGCGCTGCTTTGGGCAATGAACTCTATGGAATTATACCCTGCTGAGGTCCCTCCGCAACCGAAACCCTGCCATCCCCAGGATATCTACAGGTATTTCCCAACCCAGAGTTGGCAACCCTGTAACTGGCTATCGAACCGCTTTCCAGACCCTTGGAACCCAGAAGACATGGCATAGGAGGAGGTGCTTTTCTACCTTAGCTGCCACTGCATAACTCCAAATCAACATAGGTCAGGGGTGGAGGTAACCATACCTGTTATCATGAGGCTGTCCTCCCGTACTACCCACTTGGGGCAGCAAAATGACTTGAGACAGCCCTGCCTTATAGCTAAGCAGAAGGAAAGAAACATGGCTTGCCTCCTATTTTCCCCTTCCTTCATTCGCCCCACCAGCCAAAGCCGGGACACTCACCTGGAGCTTCCTTCTAGAACTCGTTGTATTTCTTCCCACAATGGGCCTTACTCCTAGTTACACATATTACACATGCTTTTATTTTAAAATGTGCACATTTGCTTTTATTAAAATGAAATGAGACTGCCAAAAATAAAAAAACAAAAGGGGCAAACACAGATATTGATAGTGATATTTATTAAGTAGGGTTGCCAAGTCCCCGCTGTATGTACAGCGGGGGACTCCAGCGCCGCTCTGGGAGTGCGCGCCCCCCACAACCACGTCACCTGGAAGTGATGCAACCACGTCAGGTACGCGGGGGGCGGGGCCACAATCATCCGAGGGAAAACCATAGAGTTTTCCCTCGGATGACCGCAGCCCTGCCCCCAACGCGCCCGACGTGACTGCGTCACTTCCGGGTGACGTGCTGACGCCGGGCACGTCGCGTGCTTTGGGGGTGAGGTTCCCCTGGGGCCTGATCCGCCGGCGGCGGGTAACGGGCCTCTGTGGTGGGGGTTTTACCGCCCCCCAGGGGGACTTGGCAAGCCTATTTAAGTCCAAGTACATTTATTTGTTTGCTAATGATATTTACTTGTCTAAGAGAAAGAGAAAGAGAGGTGAAAAGAAGAAAAGAGATGGAAAGAGAAACAAAGAAAGCAAATAGATGGGAGGGAAGGAGGGGAAACATGGCTCCCCTTCACTTCCCCAGCTGCCCTCCCAGGAGCCACACAATATTGTGAAAGAGCCGCACGTGGCTCCTGGGCCACAGTTTGGCCACCCCTGGTCTAAGGCATTCTGATGCTGATCCCCTGGAGGCTGGCAACTCTAAAAGCACTGAACAGATTCATGATGCGAATATTGTTTAAAAATGAAGACTGGGATATATCATCAAGACTCCTGCCTGATTATCAGCGGGACTCAGCGGCTGCAAATGTTTTTTGGTTCAGTAGGTGGGCCCCCGGAGTTCTCCCAAACTTATGACTGGTCTCCAGATTACAGAGATCAGTTCCCTTGGATAAAACGGCAACTTCAGACGTCACAGCAATCCCTCCCTAAACATTCCCCCCTTCCAAAAGTCCGTACCCCAAAATGTCCAGGAATTTCCCAGGCTACAGTTGGCAACCTTTGTACTGCTCCAGTTTCCATCCTTTATGGATGTTTGGCTGAGTTCTTCTCAGCTGTGGCTCCAGAAATGCTATCTCCCCCAACCCCCGTCCATTGGTATCACATTTTTGAGCTATGGAGCCTTGGAGTTACAGCTCATCTCCAGACTACAGAGAGTGTCAAACCTTGCTAGGTGAGAAGAAAAACACAAAAGGCTCTACATCTGACAACAGCACTACAGATAAGATTAGGATCCACATGCAAAAAGAACCTCCTCAGGAAACAGGAAACATCCTCAGGAAACAATCCTGTGATTTCAGGGACACTCCCATTCCACCTAACGAATCCTGCCAGCCTCTGAGTTCGTTTCCATCACTGCTTTATCAAAGACGGAACAGAATGTCTTCCCGTGCGTCCATTTCTTGCCACATCTCACGATCTTTGTGAGATCTGAGCAGCTGCCCTTGTGCCTGTAAGCAGCTGTAAATGTAAATCTGGGAAAAGTCTCGGCTGGAAACTTACATATTCCGAATGGACTAATTGTCCAGCCTTTCAGTGTCTTGGAATACGATACTGTGTCCTGTTTGAGTTAGGCTATGTTCAGCCAGTAGATATAAATTACCTGCCTACCATTTTTCTTCTCACCTGGACACAGAGAGTACTTCATCCTTCACAGCTGCAGGCGAAACGTCAGGCACTACAATGCCAAGAGCACGGCCACACAGCCCGGAAAACCTACAACTACTAGTGATGCCAATATAGTTGGTTACATTGCTTAATTGTTGTTTCACGGTTGTTTCTTATCTTCGTCTCTCCCCCCTGGAGGTTGGCAACCCAACCAGCATCATTGTTGTTTAGCAAACCACTTAAATGCATGGCTCAATTTTTTTTAAAGAAAACTTTTTCGAGTGGCTGGAAGGGCTTTTAACCGTTTGCGGGTGCCCTTTCGACCCCCCTGTTGCTAGGCAGAGGCCTTCAAAAGTTCTTCCTGTAACGGTCAGGATACCTCCCTGGAAGGCACTCAGTCTTACGTGCCCAAGGAGAAGGCTTTATTCCAGGAGGCTGCCCTTCCTCTGCCCCGTGGTTTGCGGGGGCCGAAATAGACCCTAAGAGCTCCCTCTTTGTTCTGCGAGTTTTGAGAGTGCCCGTCTGCAAGCCGTTCCTTTCCCATTTCCCAGCCTTCTTTGTGCTTTTAGAAGTCAAGGAACCTGGCAGAGAGAAACAATTCCTGAGCAATATTAGGCCCTGAAAGGCCATTACTACTGGAACGGTTGCCGCAGATTAAACCGGGGGGGGGGGGGATGAGAGTGAAATGGAACTTTAGAAGCGGTCTATCTTTTATTTTGAGTTACCCAGGGAAAGACACCGGGAGTCACACCAAGCTTGTGGGTGTACCAAGCGACTCCCTGTTGGAAACAGGATGCTCAAGGAGATGCGGTTTGGGCTTAGGGTCCCCAGGTCCCCCTTGGCCACCAATGGGGGATGGGGAGACAGGGACCTCAGTGAGAGCCAGTTTGGTGTAGTGGTTAGGAGCAGAGGTCATTTCGAGGGGGGTCGCAGTTCCCCCGGGTGAGGTGCGGGGGGTTGGGCACACAATGAAGCCCCGCCCCTGCTTCCGGCCGCCCCGCTTCCAGCCCTCATTCAGCCAGGAGGAGGCAGGAGAAGAGGGAGGGTAAGTTGCTTCCTCCCCGCCTCCCCCCACCCCTGCCTGCCTGGGGCCAGGGAGGGCCTTGGTGGGGCTTCCTCGCACTCCCGCCGGCCTTGCAGGTCCACTGCCGGGCCTTATGATGTCAGGGGGTGTGGCATATGCTAATGAGTTATGCTAATGAGTTCCCCTAGCTCTTTTTCTACGAAACGACCCCTGGTTAGGAGCGTGGACTCTAATCTTGGAGAACCGGGGTTGATTCCCCACTCCTCCACATGCAGCTGCTGGTGTGACCTTGGGTCAGTCACAAGCTCTCTTGGAGCTGTTCTCTCAAGGGCAGTTCTCAATAGAGCTCTCTCAGCCCCACCTGCCTCCCAGGGTGTCTGTTGTGGGGAAGGGGAAGGAGATTGTAAGCCGCTCTGAGATGCCTTCTGGTAATGAAGGGCAGGGTATAAATCCAATCTCCATCTCCTCCTCCTCCTTCTTGGCACAATGCCATAGAGTCCACCCTCCTAAGTAGCCATTTTCTCCAGGGGAACTGATCTCTGTAGTCTGGAGATCAGGATCCCCAGGTCCCAGCAGGGGCCCAATCCGCCACCGGCCAGCTGGCCGGCAGGGGAAGCACCACTCCTGAAAAGCCCCCTCCCGCAGCGCCGGCACCATGCAATCACACCACCTAGAAGTATTCAATAATGTTCACTACACTACTATATAATGATAATGATAATAGAAGAAAAAAACAAGTGTAGTCAGGGCTATTTTTGGGCAGGAACGCACAGGAACGGAGTTCCAGCTGGCTCCTGAGTTGGCCATGCCCAGGAACGGAGTTCCAGCTGGCTCCTGAGTTGGCCATGCCCAGCAGGAGCTCATTAGCATAATAGGCCACACCCAACAGCAGAAACTCATTCGGATTGGCTACATTAGGAGTTCCTGCAACAAAAAAAGCCCTGGGTTTTGACCACAAACAAGGTCAACAGAATAAGAAGGGAAAGGTGGGCGTGCCAGTGTGGGTTTTCAATCACAGGTTCACCTGTGCATGCATTGAATGTCACGCAAGAGTAACTCCGTGCGTGTATAAGGAACAGTCAAGTGTACACTGAACACGGACTGTGTGTGTGCTCATTGTAATAGGGTTCCAGAAATATCCCGAAACCCTGCAAAAATGACATAGAGGCCAAGAGCCATCTCCCTCCATGTTGTCTCCTGGACAGACGTTCAGAGCTTGATGGGTGTCCTCTTTAGTCACCGACCGTGGCTAGCAGCCACTCATGGATCCATCCTCCCCGAATCTGTCTTTCCCCTTGTTAAAATCATCTCTGCTCGTGGCCATTACCACATCCACAGGCAGTAGATTGCATAATTTAATTGCCTGTTAAGTAAAGAAGTACTTCCTTTGGTCCACCCAGAGTCTGTTGCCCATCAAGTTAATTGGGTGCCTTGAGTTCTAGTGTTATGGGAGAAGGAGAAATAGCTCTCTCTGTCTACTCTCTGCCCCCGGCATCATTTTATAAACCTCTTTCAAGAACTGCTCGTGAGAGAACAGCTCCGAGAGAACTTGTGACTGACCCACAGTCACACCAGCAGCTGCGTGTGGAGGAGTGGGGAATCAACTCCGGTTCTCCCAGATTAGAGTCCATGCACTTAACCACTACACCAGACTGTCTCTCAGAACTGGCCATGGGTTCAGGATCGCTACTCGACTTGATCCAGATAAAGATGGCTCTGCTCCCAACTTGAACGTCCGACCACTAGAGCGGCTGCCCAAATGGCCTTTTCCATGTTCTCATTTTCCTCAGTTGCATTGTAAGTTCCTGTTTCATTGGGGTTTCTGTTCAGTGGTGTTTTGCTCCCCCTAGTGGTCAATCTGATATCACACCAGTTTATGTCCAGCATTAAAAAACAGCAGCTTAAATCTACAGGGAAACATAAACCACTGTAATGTCAAATTGAATGCTGGAGGGATCAAAATACACACACACCCCGAAACAGGAATTTACAAGCCAGGAAAATGAGAATACAGGAAAGCGCAATGGAGAGAACAATAAGACGGAAAACTCTGGGGGTGGGGGTGGGGTAGAATATTTTCTGAGTTATTTCCTACTTTCTATAAATATGTGTGTGTGTGGGGGGGGAGGCTAAAATAAAAGACTGTGTCTTTCACACAGGAGAAGAACCTCTCTGCACGTGGCTGAAACACACATTTTCCTGACTTTTTATTTCTTTTAAAAGCTGCTTTGCATCTGAGGTGAAACGCACTTGACAGAGAAACGACTCTGCCCTTAGACCAGTGGTGTCAAACATGTGGCCTGGGGGCCAGATCAGGCCCCCGGAGGACTTCTATCAGGCCCGCAATGGAACTGGCTGTCTTCTGCTTCTTCTTCCAGTTCCGATGCTGCTGCGTCCTTGTAGGTTTGCAGTTTACAAATACACACTTGAACAGCATACTCAAGATTGCAACAGCACAGGCATTTTGATGCAATAATTCAGAGCAAGAGGTGTCCATTATCAGACACTGTTAAATAAAGAAAATATTGCAAGAGTGCTATATGTTTTAAGCATGTTTTTATTTTAAATAAAAGAAACCCTTTGGGTATGTGTCCTTTATAAAGTTTATATCTCCGCTACCTGGCATTACATTTTATGACACACACGGCCCGGCCCAACAAGGTCTCATTTACGTCAGATCCGGCCCTCATGACAAATGAGTTTGACACCTCTGCCCTTAGACTCTTGAAAATAAACCATTGCTCTTCTCATGGGGGGAAAAGAATGGTTCAGGGCCATCCAGTGTTTGGGTTATCTTGGCCTTGATTTGTGTTCGTTTAAAACACACAGGTCTCTGTCTAAAGGTTTTTCTTGGTGCTGCTGATTTTTGTTATTCTTCTCTGCCTCCTGGATAGCCCAGGCCAGCCCCATCTTCTCAGACCTCAAAAGCTAAGCCGGGTTGGCCCCGCTTACTGTCCGGACGGGAGACTAGCAAGGAAGTCCAGGGCCACTACAGAGGCAGGCAATGGCAAACCACCTCTGAATGTCTCTTGCCTTGAGAACCCCATAAGAGAGCCAGTTTGGTGTAGTGGTTAGGAGCGTGGACTCTAATCTGGGAGAACTGGGTTCGAGTCCCCAGTCCTCCACGGCTGCTGGTGTGACCTTGGGTCAGTCACAGTTCTCTCGGAGCTGTTCTCTCAAGAGCAATTCTCTCAGAGCTCTCTCAGCCCCACCTACCTCTCAAGGTGTCTGTTGCAGGGAGAGGAAAGCAAAGGAGATTGTAAGACGCTCTGAGACTCCTCTGGGTACTGAAGGGTGGGGTATAAATCCATTCTCCTCCTCCTCCCCCTCTTCTTCAACTTGAGAGGGTTGACCCTGCCTCATTCTGGAGTTAGGGCAGCACATGAAAAGTGCCCCTTCTCTATTTCACCCTCCCAACAACCCTGTAAGGTAGTTTAGGACAAGAGAGAACAACAGGCTTTATAGAGGAGTCAGGATTTGATCCCAGGCTCTTAAGGCCTATGCTGACCCTCTAAGAACTCTAATAACATCAGAAGACCCCTGCTGGATCAGACCAGAGGTCCATCTAGTCCAGCATCCTGTCTCACACAGGGGCCAACCAGTTCCTCTGAACGGCCAACAACAGGGCATAGAGGCCAAGGCCTTTCCCTGATAAGAACACCAGAAGAGCCCTGCTGGGTCAGACCAGTGAGGGTCCCTCTAGTCCAGCATCCTGTCTCACACAGCGGCCAACCAATTCTTCTGGATGGCCAACAACAGGGCAGAGAGGCCGAGGCCTTCATAAGAAGAGCCCTGCTGGATCAGACCAGTGGTCCATCTAGTCCTGCATCTTGTCTCACACAGTGGCTAACCAGTTCCTCTGGACAGCCAACAACAGGGCATAGAGGCCGAGGCCTTCATAAGAAGAGCCCTGCTGGATCAGCCCAGTGGTCCCTCTAGTCCAGCATCCTGCCTCACACAGTGGCCAACCAGTTCCTCTGGAGGGCCCACAACAGGGCACAGAGGCCGAGGCCTTCCCTGATAAGCACATCAGAAGAGCCCTGCTGGATCAGACCAATGGTCCCCCTAGCCCAGCATCCTGCCTCACACAGTGGCCAACCAGTTCCTCCCAACCGCCAAGAACAGGGCATAGGGCCTGAGGCCTTCCCCTGATGTTGCCTCTAGCTCTGGGATTCAAAAGATGAGTGCCTCTGAATGTGGAGGTTCCCCTCAGTCCCCAGCAGCCCTTAACAGACTTCTCCTCCAAGTGCATCCCATGAAATCGCTGGTTCTCCCTGGCAGCGCGCAACCTCTCCCCCTCCCACCTCTCCAAAGCCAGAGAGCCCTATCCAGGCCGTCCGCCTCCCAACGCGGGCCCGTCCCTTAGCGCAGGTGCGCTCAGGCGGAAGCCATGCGCGCCAGCCGCTGCGCCTCATGCTCGGCGGAGAGCGCTGATCTGCCGCAGATGTCGTTGCCTTCGGGTTGGGCGAGACCAGGGCGGCGATGGCGGCCGGCGGCCGGCAGGAGGTGCTCTTGCGGCGCAGGAAGAGAAGCGAGCCGAAAGGGGGAAAAACACACACACAGAGAGGAGAGCGCCAGAGCGCACGCTTGGCCATAACAACCCAGCCGTCGCCTCCTCCTCCTCCGCCGCTGGCAGGATTCATCAGACCGGTCGTGGGGAGGGGGGACACGATCCGAACGACGGAGGGGATGTTGAGGCGGCCGCTGCCGCCGCCACCTTCGCCCGCTGGGAAGCAGTGCTCTTGAAGCGGAGGAGGAGGGAGATCTGGGCAGCCAAGCCGGCTCCCCCCCCCCTTGCACTTTGCAAGTCCGCCAGACGAAGGGAGAGCCCCGGCGAGCCTTGCGGAGCCAGGAAAATGGAGTGAGTACCGCTTCTCCCTCTCCTCCTCCCTCCCCCCCCCCCCTTCCACCCACCACCTCTCTCCTTGCGCATCGCCGGGCGCATCTGTGCCGAGGGACTCCAAGGCCATTGTTGTGGGCACGGCTCGCCAGGGACCGCGCCGGGCTCTCCTCCTCGCCCCAGGGCGCAGGCTCCCTCCCCGATGTGCCAAGCGGGGGCTGAGATCCTGATGATGCCCATCTCGTTTACCTGTTGGCGTCGCCGGCTTGGGGGGCGCTGCTGCTGCTGCGTGCTGTCCTCCCCCCACCACCACCACCACCACGCCGCCGCCCCATCCCTTCTCGCTCGGATACCTTTTGCAGTGACTCAGACAAATCTTCGCCTCCCCGGGCAGGGATTCGATCTGGCTCGGCTCCCCCTTTTCCCTGCCGTCCAAGACGCGTCTGGGGGCCGCGGGGGGGGGGGAGTCTTGTCTTCTTGACGGTAAAGGGGGGTACGGTTTGGGGTCATCTTTCGGCAGAGGGGCACCCCCCTTTCCTCTGATGGCTTCGGCTTGGCTGCTGATAACCTGCAACATTTGCAAAAAAAAAAGAAAGAAAGAAAGATAAGAGGCCCTTGTGGTGTCCAAAACAAAACATCCAGCGGTTAAGACCTCTTAGAAGGAGCAGCGAGGATGGGCATGGGATGAGTTTAAGAAGGGGAGCATCGCCCAGATGAGTGTGCTAGGTTTCTTTCCCACCGTGGTGCTTCAATTGCTGTGCAAATTAGGATTTCCCCCACCCACCCAGGTTTCTGCCAGGTTGGTCTTGCAGTTGCCTTTCCACCGGGCAAAGTTAGGAGACCAGCCCTCCCAGGTCTAGGTTGAAGCCTTGCCTGGAGTATTTACAAAAAGCAAAGGGGGGAAGGATGGAATGCTACCACTGGGCTCCATACCCCCGCCCTGCTGCCAAGAGGGCACAAGGATTGTGTTTTCTCCAGCAACCTCCGCTAGGAATTGCTGGCGCCGGGAGAACCTCCCAGGAGGGCTCCCCGACCGAGCTGTCAGGCCACGCCAGCGAGCAGGATTTGATGTCAGCCAGGATTTTGCTTTCCAGCTGCTGCGGCGATTATATGGACCACCATTCCCTGCCTGACCCTTCCGCCTCTGCCCAGCGGAATGTTTGTGGACATTCCATGACCACCACCCCCCATCCTGGTTCAATTGTGTTTGGTTAGTGGTTTTAATTGCCTCCGCTCTAGTAAATGCGAACTGCTTTTGCATCCATGCGTATGCCCAATGGCTCTAGGGCAGAGTCGAGCTTGGATATAGGTTCGAGTCTCGCGCCGCCTCTGTTTGTCGGTTCGGTGTGTGGCTGACCACTCCGGCTCCCTGCAGACAAGAGCTGAAGGGAGCATATGAAAAAGTTCAGGAAGAATGAGAAGAGAGAAGAGACTTGTGCACAGTCACGAGGGTGCAACTGGGCATGCATTTCGCTCTCTGTCACATTCCACTCACACACAACTCTTCTGTGTGGCCGTCCTTTGGATACCACCCGAAATCGAGCTGCCATAGGCTCCGGAGGTTGCCCGAGCCACTGAAATGGATCGGTAGCTATGGAGGTGTCACAAACAGTGGTCTGACTTTGGTTTGGGGTTCAAATCTCGGGTGACTTGGTTTGCCTTGTGGGGCTACGCTGTGATTCCCCCTGGAATAGCTACGAGCCCTTCTGTTTGCATTCATTGGTCTCCCCGCGGTACCTGATGTAAAGGTCTTTAAAAGATTCCTTGCGCCTGGCCTTGCCAGTTGATCAACGGACACTGCACCCTGGTCAGGGGTCTAGAGTTTCTCTCTTACTGGGTCAGAACTATTTCCAGGGGCCTAGCGATGTCAGTCTGCGGCAGGAGGGCAAGATTTGGGTCCAGTAGTACCTGAACGACCGACAAGATTTCCAGGATATCTGCTTTCAAGAATCAAAGCTCTGACGAAGGTGTTTATTTATTTATTTGTTCAAATTTATAGCCCGCCCTCCCTGCGATGGGTTCAGGGCGGCTCACTAATAGGGCAACATGTGCCAGTAGTTAAAACACAAATAGGGCAAAAAATGCCAATAGTTAGTGGTTTTAATAGTTAGTGGTTATTGGACGAAGGGTGGATTGACTCTCGGAAGCGTATACCCTGGAAACTGGTCGGTCTTTAACGTGCTACTGGACCCGAATCTAGGTCAGAACTGCGCGTGGAGCTTTGCAGATTAGCCTCTGGGGGAAAGGATAGGTCCCTGCCCCAAGAAGCATGTTGTCTACATTTGAAAGGGAGGGCCGGGAAATCTACCAGCAGGGATATTTCCTTCCGTTCCATTCAGGCAGCTTAGAGAGCTCACCTTTCCGGAGACGCCACCTGGCAAAAGGAGATCGATATCTTGGCTGGGAAAATCCAGCATTTGGATCGGCGGCTGTCGAAAGCCTCTGATGAGGGACCCTCCGAGGGTGGCCAGCAACGCTCCCTCTGAGCTGTGGCGTCTTGTGAGCAGATTCTACTTTGTGAGCTCCTGGCATTAGTGGGCGAGTGAAGGCGACTGCGTCGATTCGCTTGCTCTGGAGCCCTCCTTCCTGAGCTGAGACAAAAAGAGGTGAGCCGGAGGCTAAAAAACTGTGAGCTCAGAGGGAACACAGAGGCCAAGTCCTCCCCGGCTACCCATGGAAGACGGGGAAGGGGGAGTAGGGTTGCCAGCTCCAGGTTGGGAAACTCCTGGAGATTCGAGGGTGGAACCTGGGAAGGACAAGGACCTCAGTGGGGCACAGTGCCACAGACTCCGCCCTCCAAAACATCCATTCGCTCCAGGGGAACTGATCTCTGTAGTCTGGAGACGAGCTGGAATTCCGGGGGATCCCCAGGCCCCACCTGGAGGCTGGCATCCCCAGTCCCTCCAGAGGCTGGCCTGCAGTCTGAGCCCTCCCAGCAGTGGACCAATAGCAAGCTGGTTCTCCTCTGGCTAAGATCTCAGTCGGATGCTTTTTTTTTGGACACCTTTCACTCCGGAAAGCAACGCCCATTTCCTGGAGGAATGGGCTGTCTGGAATCCAGATTCCCGAGATGCAGAGAGGTGCACCTGTTTTTCCTAGGGTTCCGAAAACATCTGTGGAGGGGCCCATGCAGGAAGGCCCCCCGAACAATGCTCCCTCTAAGCTGTGGAGTCTTGTGAGCAAAAATTCTACTTTGTGAGCTGCTGGCATTAAAGTTGTGAGCGAGCGATTGGGCGACAGCATCAATGAGTTGGCTCTGGAGCCCTCCTCCCTGAGCTAAGATAAAAATGTGTGAGCCGGAGGCTAAAAATCTGTGCGCTGGCTCACACTAACTGAGCTTAGAGGGAACACTGGCTCCGAGCATTGTTTCTCCAGGCCGGCGGCAGACTTGGAAACCCTGTCTTTCCTTGATTGTTTGCCTGAGCCAGGAAAGAGAAGGGTCTGTTTTATTTCTGACTTGTGATCAGCGTGACGTGGACTGGGCTTCCCGCTTGTAGACCGCTGACCTCTGGGAAAGTCTAGCCCAATTCCTTCTGCCCAGTCTTGGCCCATTGGGGTGGCTCTCAGTTGATTTTCGGATCAGGGTGTAAACTCCTGCCACGCCCGTGGATTCATCTGAGCAAGACTTCTGCCCAAGTCCTGCTTTGAGTACAAGAATTCCGCCTTGGAGTGTGGAAAGTAGCCCAGAGATGACCAAAGAAGGAGGTTCCCCCCCCCCATCTCAGTTTCTTTGCAAGTGGGTCAAGATGAGCTTTGCTAAAACTGAGCTGCAAAAACTGCTCAGAATGATGGGCGTGACTCCTTTCGAAGCGACTTGGCTGCCAAATGAAGGGCCCCCCCACCCCACGAGGGCTCAGTTGAAGTTGAGTGCCTTCCTGACGTCGGCTCCTTTGCACATTAAGGCAAGCTGTGCAAAACCTGAGCTGTAAGATAGCTCAGACCTATGGCTTAGTGAAACCAGAGCCCTTTTTTTCCAGGCTTATGTTGCCGCTAGATAAAACCAGCTGAGCAGTTGGATCAAAACACAATGGTGATTAATTCGTTAGTAATTAATTGGGATGAGCTTTGCAGAACCTGAAGTGCCAGAGGGCTCCGAACGAAGCAGAAGATCTCATCAGACCCTCGCTCCTGGCAGCACTTCTCTTGAGTCAGGGCTAAGCTCCTTTTCACAGCCAATGCTCAGCGCAACAATGTGCAGAGGAATAGTAAAGAAGTGGGTGCCTCTGAACATGTGCAGAGTGCCATGCCAGCAGCTGACACAAATCTAGGACAAGGGATCTGAGATGTCCGGCCGGTGACTTCCCTCTGCAAAGCACAAAGGCATCCACAAAAGGCCCCGTGGCAAATTCACAATGGTGGTGATTAGAGATAGGTGAACCTTCCCGTCTTTTACCAAGTTTCGAAAACAGAGAGAGACCTGCTGTGTGGCTCTGAGCATGTGCATCACTGAATAATACGGTTGCCAGGTCTCCCCTGGCCACTGGTGGGGGGTTGGGTTGCCAGATCCAGGCTGGGAAACTCCAGCAGGAACCTCAGTGGGTGGGCACAGTGCCCGACAGTCCACCTTCCGAAGCATGCATTTTCTCCAGGGGAACTGGAGAATAAGTCTGTAATTCTGGAGAGAGCAGCTGTGATTCCAGGGGATCCCCAGGACTCACCTGGAGGTTGGCATCCCTATGTAACCATAAGTAGTGCCAGTACAGCTCGAACTGGGAAGGGACTTTGTCCAGGCAGAACTGGGTTCCTGCTCATGCAAGTGCTGGTCAGAATTGCATAATACAACTCAGATGTGCAGTTTAGTAGTTCTATATGCAGAGAAAGTTTAAACAAGTTGCTTCCTTTTAACAAACCGACACGCATATCGCAGGGCTCTTTTTGTAGAAAAAACCCAGCAGGAACTCATTAGCATAATAGGCCACACCCAACAGCAAAATCTATTAGCATATTAGACCAGACCCTGACAGCACCACTCATTAGCACATTAGGCCACACCGCTATGTTACCAGAAGTGTGGTCATCCA